TGAAATCAAACAAGAGCCTTTGCATTACTCGTTTACAAGTAATGTAAAAAAATCCGTCTATTAATATTTGTTAATCAAAAATAATTTTTGGTAAGGTGAGTGCAATGTTCGAATGTAAATTCGCACTGTTCGTTATTTTCTTCTTGCAATTTCAGAAGTAACGGTTCGAAAGAGAACGTGATAAACCGCAGGGGGAAGGGAGGAGGATGTGCACCATTTGGCAAGAATCTTTTTTTCGTAAAAAGAAGCAGGGTGAGAAGAGCCATTTTCAGTAAATCCTCAGATTTTAGAAATCAACGAATTTCTTTGGTCACTGTATGAAATCAGTCTTAGGGTTTGTAGGAGTGCGGTTAAATCGCCGAAGGGAAATGCATTCCGTTTTCCGAGCGAGTCGAGAGGGTCGAACGTGCGGTTTCAGGCCTGTGACTGGACCGAACTCTAATGGTCATTATGACAGGTACACAGAGTTTCCATTTTCAGCGTCGTCGGTTAAACCTGGCACGTTTCTCGCCCGCCCATTTTTCCTCGCGGCGCTGCTTGATTTTGCCGATCCTCTTACGCCAGTGCATTAACTTTCTGCCCTTCGCTTTTTTTTATTCTTCTCCATGGCCACTATAAATGGCCACTTCATAACGCTGCGATCATCCGCTGGAAGGCGATTTACCAAATCCAGGAGGCGGAAACGACAAACGGGTGGTAGGCGGCCAGAGTAAAAGCAGTTTTAATGCTATGTGTGAGAGTAACCAAGAGAAATTCCTAGTAGTATCATTCTGCTTCATATAGTAGATATTCACTTTTCTTACTTTTCCTCGTTAAAACTACTACATTAATTAATTTACTTTATCGAAGAGTTGCGGATTCTCACGAACCTGAGTAAAAATCGTATTTTTATGTGTCACTTCACGATTCTGCTTTCTACTTTCATAGAGTTACATTTACTTCAGTTACTCGTCAACAATTGTATGCTTTTATAAGCGGGAAAATATAATCAATTTTAAGATATTCCAAGTAGTTTATAGAAAAGGAAAAGAGAAACAAATTTTTTGAAAATTGTTATACTTTTTCGTAGTAGTCGAGTTATTCTTTTACTTTTATTTTTACTTTCGTTTGATATAATGTTATTAGTATTGTTTCCATTTTTCAACTACCAAGTGAAATTCTTTAAAACTTCGAAATTTTTTGAAGCGCTTTGCCGCGCACCAGGAAAAACTGTTACGTTTGGGAAATACTATGACTACAATGCATATTCGAAAGAACTGTATTATAACATGCACTACCGTACATTAATAGAGTGTACAATGTACAATACATATACGAAAATAGATCATCGAAAATTTTCATTGTTACATGAGTAGGTGAAGTACAAACTTATTGTTAAGTATATTAAAACAAGAGTTTACTTTGCCAAGTTCTATACAATAGATTCTATGTTTTTGTGACATCCGCAGTATCTTCTTACTAAAAACTTTTACTTCTAATCAAATATTTTTTAGCCTTAATTTTTGATTACACTATTTCGTTAGGTAGACGTAAGCAGTGAAAAAGAGTTATTTTCTTTACCTCTGCTTTTGTGATGGCGGAAAAGTTTGGATTCAGGTAGTAGCGTATTCCTTCAAAGCTTCCGGGCAATGTGACACCTCGTATAAGTAAAATCAGTAGAACAGCATAAGGGAATAGAGCTGTGAACCAAACGACCTATAACAGAAAGAAACAATTGTTTCGCAGTTTCCATTGATGAAACAATAATCGTAAGTGAAACGACAGTGTTTGTATCCTTTAAGTTAGAGAATTTTTCGTAGATTAATTGTTGTAAAAAGTTTGTTACTTTATTTTGAAAGAGGAGATTCCTTCAGCGGCGAATTTGTCTTTTTATAGTAATATTTCTTGCTTAAGATGTATATGTAATCAAGTAATTTTTGGCATAGTTACAAAATGAAAATGTATTGCAAACAGTGTCACTGAATTGAATTGAACTTGTAATACATAAATTGTTTGCTGTACTTCCCATCTTTCTTAGCAATAGTAACAGACTGGAACATGATTCGTCAGAGTTAAATTTTCTTTTTATTCTGCTCTACAGAATATTATGCAAAAAGTCAGTCTTTGCAGATAGCGAAATATGTATCGAGGAATTTTCTCAAGATGGCAAAAAGTTATCGAAATGTATGAAATTTTTGTTAAGTTATAAAATAATTATGTCCATAGAGTTTCTTATGATTGTTAATTTATATTTCTGGTAGAAAAATCGATGTTTTCAAATACTTTGCGTGTAGTAGTATAACTTATGTGTTCAATCTACGTGTATTCTCTTAGTTAAATTATTGTTCAAAAGTATCTTAAATATTTCTTCTATATTCACTATGTGAGACGATGAATTTTATTTTCATACATCGTACCTTTATCTAATAATTGCAATTTATGGCTAATGTCTCCAAATTAATATCTCTATTTCCAATCTTGTTGTTGCAGTATTCTATATATTTTACAGTATTAATATTCTTAAGTTTAATTAATCATAGAAATAAAAATCCGGTGTATTACTTAAAAAACAAACACTTTGGCAATATAAGTTGACCCTTTTTGAAAGTCGCTAATTGCCCATTTACAGATGCAAAGTCGATATTTGTACCGCAGACTGCGTCAACATCCTAACAAACTTCTGTTATTAATTAACCACGCTTTCCTTTCAGCATGAGCGTGAAAACATTTTATATCCTTATTTCTAAGCCACTCACCACTAATCTTCTATTCGACTTAATAAGTAAATATAATTTTAGCGGGTAATAGCAACAATTGAATAACTATAGCATTATTACGATAGGTACTTAGATCTACCACATTTTAAAAGGGGAAAGAATTCAAGGAGGCCGATTTGCAAAGAACAATAATCTTCGTTGCAATTTTCTTATATTTAATAAGAATTTGACGCAGTAGCTTAATTGTTCTCTGATAAGTATGATATATTCAAATGATAAATAATGTACATACTTCATGAATAAAAAATATAGTCTGTTTGAATCAATTAGAAAAACAGACGGTTGGAATATTAAGACATTAATAAGTCAGAAAATTCAAAGTAAAGAGACCGAAGTAATCATAGTTTCGACTAAATTAATAATAATTTTGCAGCTCGTTTAAAATTTCGAACAGTCTAGTGAATCGATATAAATTTCTAAATAAGTTTTATCCAAAGTTTTGAAATGATTTTCATTAAGAATTAATTCTCAAACAAATTGTATTGCACAAAAGAAATCTTACCTTGCCGGAAGTAGAAATTCCCTTCCATAAGGAGAAGTAACAGATGATATAAACCACCAACAGGCATAATGCAATGTCCCATTTAATTTTTCCAAGATCGTGTAAACCTTCGCTTTCATGAAGTTCCAGAATAGCTCGGCTTAAAACAAAATTATCGACATACATAGTTTATTTTGTAATGTAGGATATATAGTTCCATTTTTTATGGAATGTCTAGAAGTAGAAGAAGGAATCATTAAAAGTTCAATGACTTATACTTGGAAAATACAATTTTTAAATGAAATTACAAGCTTAACTATACATATGCATAATAGTTGGTTTTAGAAGAAGAAATACACACATGCAGGGTGTTATATTTAAACGACAACGGTGGAATATCTCACGAGGAATTGAAGCTGTGAAAATGATGTTTGTACAAAAGTGGGGGCACAAGTGGGGGAGATATCTAAGTCAAGTTAATTTTTTTTAAATGGAATTACTTATTTTATTTTGTTATTCATAATATGGTAGCGTTTGTTGAGACGAATTCAAGAATATGCCACACGAAGTCATTTCGTTTTATGAAAAATCGTAACGTAGTGAAGAATCGGGGAGTCAGGTCAACATGTGTCGCCGCACGCTTTCGGCCAGCTAAACCGTCCTCGACAATGCTACTAATACAAATTCTCCACGATTGTACAATTTTCTATAAAACGAAATGACTTAACGTGGCATTTCGTTGAATTCGTCTCAACAAATGTTATAACATTAGGAATACAAAAACATAGTGTTCCATTAAAAAAAGTTAACTTGACTTTGATATCTCCCCTACTACTACACTTACAAAAAAATTATTTAGACCACCTAATGTCCCCCTGTATACTGAACAACTTTTGTAAGACCATTTTTTTCATAACTTCAGTACCTCGTGAGATATGTATTCCACCGTTCTCGTTTAAATGTAACACCCTATACACATAGTCAGAAGCAATTTGTTAAGTACGTTAAATTATATTTTTTAAATAAATTAGAAACATAATATCTATTATAACGATGGAAGTGGTCATAAATTTGTTGGATAGTTTAATCTGTAGGCAAAACTATTAAGAAATTTTCAATAAAACGTACACAATATTATTTACATAGGTTTTATTATTTTTCTCCTAGTGTATGAAATTCTTCAGATTTTAAACAATGATGACAGAAGAGATATTCAGAAAAAATATGTAATGAATATTTTATTTCACATCAAATAACGTCTATTGTGTGTGAATTATTTTTATTATAATTCTTTTATTTTATATTCAAATACATCAGAATCAAGTTATCTATATTATAACATTCAGAACCTTCATAAGGAAATTATTTGGGTAGATGACGTCAATCATTCTCGTATTGTATACATTTTTTGTATTAAATGGGAAACAAAGAAAAAGCAGTGTATGTATTATTAGTAACGATAAAATTTTTAGCTGTTAGTTTAAAAATTACATGTAAGTATATTAATACGTTAATATATGTATGTACATATGATTTATCGATTCAAGGAACTGAACAAAATTAATGAACAGTGTTACAATCGTAAAGAGTTTCAGACATAATGAATTTTAGAAACGTGTATATAACAAAGCTTGTACAATCGAAGGAGAACTTACTTGAAATATTCTTGGGCAGCACTCGTGTACCATGTACTGTTGTAGCCTTGATTTGAATTTCTATCCAACCGTTCCTCAATTAAAGATGAGTTAGAGTCTATAGAATCGAGCGAATCGACAAGATGTGTATCATCGAACGTGTAAGAAATGTTTGCATCAAATGCGCGACAATGTGGCGTATTCCATGGATTGTCACAGGTAGTCCAAGGCAGAAGGCTGGAGAACGAGGCGAAGAAGTACCTCAATGCCCAGGCAATAATCACGTTGTAGTAGAAGTCTACGTAGAATGCGATTAGGGCCACTGCATAACCAATTCCTACACAAACAATACGTTATTATATTAAACTTTTCAATCAAATATTTTATCACTTAAACGAAAATGTGCCCCTTTATCTTCTTCTTTTCACGTTCTTCACTCTCCGTAGGCAATCTGGGTCATTGATAACCGAAGCAAAATTTCACTCTTGCATTTCTTCGAAACAAATTTTTATTTTTATTGAAAAAAGTTTTAAACATTTGACTTAACGAACAATTGTATAAGTATTTCAGATTTTTTGAATAAACAACCCAGATTACTTACGAAGTGTGAAAAAATATCGTTGCCTATTTACGTAGGGTTAAACTTCCATAAGATGAAGCCACTATTTTATAAGTTATCGTTCCCTTAATCGTTACTGCAAAGTACTTGTGCACGGTGAAAAGTCACCGATAGGATTTTGTTATTCTTCTAAAATCAAAAAATAAGAGGATTGTTGTAATTAAAGAAACGTCTTTAATCTAACAGGAGTCCATACATTTCGGTTTTATCTTCTAAGTATTTTGTTCTTCTTTGACGTGTGAATTCGAAAAAATCTGTAGAGCAATCGTTTGAAGTTTCTTTCCATTGTAATATCTTTAAGTTGTTCAATTATTTTGTAATATAAGAAAAGCTTGAAAATAGGATTCCAATCGAAACTTAACCTATTTTCTAATTTCTATGTATTATAATAGGAAGAGTGAAAGAATTGAACTACTGCTATGAATCCAATGTACTTCGTTAACTATATCTTATGTGTTTTATCATTTAGCAAAAGTTCGAATCAAATAATTTCAGTGCCAATTAATACCTAACATATATTCACAGTGGCGTCCATTCTTTTTGGATTTATACGAGACGCTCTTAATTTTTCCCTTGATAATTATTAATGGAGCCATTAATGGTCTTCGTGCACCATTTATCACTTCGGTATCCTTAAAGTGGCTTGAAATTTGAATCGCAGGACACAGATGTTAGAAACGATTTTGATATTTTGAACTGAATTTGAGGAAAACGAAACGTTTTCGATAGGTTCTTGCAATTCAATGCAGCAAGAAGAATCAAAGAAAGATTTGATAAGAAATTAACCATACTTTTACATATGCTTACTTAATTTAACAGAAAACTTTAAATTTACTGAGAAATAATAAAAGTTCAATAGGTTTTGTAAATTTGACAATTTTAAAACGAGCAGCATAGTTCTATTGTTATATACAATACTAATCTAGACTTTCATATCACTTTTCACTTATAAATGCATTAACACGAACCCATTATTCCAAATCTATTTCATTCTGTTATACATATGAGCCGCTTATTTGCCAAATCGGTTAACAAAACAAAAGTGGAGAAAATTGATGAAGTTATATACATATATTAATATATATTAA